ATGAATTCGTGGCATATTCATATAATAATTATTGATAAAAATCAGTCACATTAACAACTTCCAATATATAGAAAAGCCAGTGTGTTTTGGTAACACTACATTCCAACAACGGCTTTTACGTCATGTCGCTTAGCAAGAAAAGTATAACCTAATATTGTTATTAGTCTATGTACTGAAAGAATAAAATGAAATATATAACAACAAAACTGGAAACATGTTTGTTTATTTCTTAATTTAGAGTCTCTGTTGATTAATGAGGTTTGTTGTTTTTTTTATTAAAAACGTTGATGATATAACAGAAAACCTTAATTCAGAAACGATTTATGTTTCAGATTGAATCGATATTTTTACTTTCATGATAAATTTGATGCACTTGGTTCTAGGCAAGGTGTTCCCACCTTACATTAGACTTATTATACCAACACTCAATGCACTGATAAGGTTTCAAGAAACCACCTCACGGTCTCCCTTGCACCCCCGTCACCTAAATCGTAATGGGAAGACAGTAACCGAACTATTCTATCTCGATAAATGCATTTTGGCTTTTATGACTCCTATTTCGAAAACCTAGCGTTACGTGACGTGACACATATTGACTTTTATATAGGTTAGATATATGGAGCCAGTTGCATACAAGTTAAGAATAAGCAATACTGTCATAAGTATACTAGAAAAGTAAATCCCATAACGATTAAAATACGCCATTAATGATATTTTTGTCCGAAAACACATTAATGTCACACGGAGTTTGACCGTTCAGGAAACGGAAGGAAGTCCTACATACATATACTCAGTTAACACTCAATCCTCTACTGCGATAGTCCTACTGAGATCCTTAGCCGCTGCAATTATTGCCTCCAACATATTCTTACCCCTCCGCACTTATCTCCTCCTTCGGATTAACTTTCACTCCTAATAAATACATATCACAGACCAGCATGTCCGAGGCTTACCCATTGGTTGTTTAATGGCTTCATATTGTTATTTTCTTTCACGAAAGGTATGACTAGCTCAACTTCATCTGGTATGTATAGCTTCTCTTATTATATCCTGCTTTACACAGACTGGGCAGCAAATGCTTCTGTGAAAATGTTTTCATGTTTTGTCTCTGAAGTTTCTATCGTTCACGTGAATACAGGAAGTATCATATGTTAATACGGAGAGCATCATATGTCAATACGGGGAGTACGATACATTAATGCAGAAAGTACAATGTTAATATGGAGAGCACCATACGTTAATATCTGGAGTACAACAGATACAAGTCGTCAGGTGCCTAGCTTTGGATACAAAGGCCTTCTATACTGTTTTACTGACAATTGAGACAAGTTGTTAGGTGTCTAGCCTAAACTACAGAAGTTATACTGTCAACTATATAATATTAAATACCTAGCCAATGATTCAAAGTTTGTGTACTCGTCTTGCTGACAACAAACATATTAGCGTAGTTACGTTTTTCTAATTTAATACATAAGAATTGGTTGTATTTGTCTTAAACAAGTGAATAATCTAGGGTAACTCTATTTTAACAAAATACTTTACGTAATACAACGTTATTTCCATCAAAGCCATAGTTAGTTGTATAATATTCTATTTATCTGTTTATAAATGGTTAATATCATGAAAACTCTAACTTAAGTCTTCCAAGAAAAAATGTCACATTACTTTTTATAATTTATATTATTTACCAATACTAAATTGTGGTCGATAATAACACTTCATAAAAGTAAAATCTACTCTATATGTTACTGACCATTTCATAAAACGTGTTTAAATATTCACTTACCTTTCTCAAAGGTGCTAGCGAGAATATTAGACTATTAGAATATTAGGCTATTCATACTGCTTATATACTTTCCCTTTGACAGCGCGTCTGCTTACTTCAGTATTCCACAAATAGCTAACTTCGCCTTTCGCCAGCAGGGGGGTACTTAAGGATGTGTACATAAAATGAGGTTTTATCATCCAAAATAGATTTTTTTTTTTACGCATGAAGTGTTTACACGCATTATGCTTCTAAGAAGGATTCCATTAAGGTTCTCAAGAACCAAAACAGTGACATGTTAATGAAAGAGTATACAATAAGTAGCACAAATCTAGTAATGCTTTCATATTAGGTTATATTACAGGATAGACTCATTCGACCTGTTTTTAATAATAAAAGCACAAGTTGGTACAGGGTTAAACAGAAACGACCTACTTTTCCAAATTTTAATGTGAATAGTTCAATGCTAGTAAAGTATAGAGTTTTATGTCACTGAAATATTCTTCATTAAATACACTGTAGGATACGTGGGTGAACTTGTCACCGTGGTTACTGCAGTTTGAATCGAGCATTTGTATCATACAAAATAAACATACACAAAACTTGTGTATCATACAGAATATATACAGGGGTTACTGCAGTTTGAATCGAGCATTTGTATCATACAAAATAAACATACACAAAACTTGTGTATCATACAGAATATATACAGGGGATACTGCAGTTTGAATCGAGCATTTGTATCATACAAAATAAATATACACAAAACTTGTGTATCATACAGAATATATACAGGGGTTACTGCAGTTTGAATCGAGCATTTGTATCATACAAAATAAATATACACAAAACTTGTGTATCATACAGAATATATACAGGGGATACTGCAGTTTGAATCGAGCATATGTATCATACAGGATAAATATAGGGGATAGTGCAGTTTGAATCGAGCATATGTATCATACAGGATAAATATAGGGGATAGTGCAGTTTGAATCGAGCATATGTATCATACAGAATATATACAGGGGATACTGCAGTTTGAATCGAGCATATGTATCATACACGATAAATATAGGGGACGCTGCAGTTTGAATCGAGCATGTATATCATACACAATACATATAGGGCAAAATGACGCAATTTAAGAATATAACTACCACAAGAACAATAAATTGCAGAACAATCCTGTACACTAAATGAAGGATTATGTTATCTAAGATAATTACTAAAACTAACATTTTCTAAATGAACTTCAATTTAAGAACAATGGATTAAGTCTAATTATTATGATAAACATCACACTTACCTGCACTGCAGATTTTTACATATTTCTCTTAATTATTACACTACGTATTTTTAATTAGTGACATAAAAATATCATTACAGAAACATTTCTCGAACATACTCAGGAGGCTTATTTTTCACTATTAAAATTTGTTAGAGTAAACCTAACTGAAATGCTATTTATATGACTACAAAACAATAATCATGGTAATGTTAAAGGGTCAAACGCTACAGAATTGCAAAGTAATGGAG